CATCCACCTGCTTTAACATGAAATCATCGACTAGCTTCCCTCGTACCACCCATTCCATCCTACCAGTAGCAGGTGCTGTTTCACCCAAAGCCATCTCCATAGCCAAGCTACTGACATATTCTTCCCAATTAGCCTCTTGTGCTAGACACCTGTAGTCAATAGACCAGTCCAAATTGCGAGCAGGAAGAGATGGAGATATGCATTTCTTGACAGCGGGTGGCGCTGTGGTCTAAACCACTGAGCCTTGGGCTTGCCGATCAAAAGGTCGGCGGTTCAAATCCCCACGATGGGGTGAGCTCCCACTGCTCGGTCCCAGCTCCTGCCAACCTAGCAGTTCGAAAGGACCCCAAAAAGTGCAAGTAGATTAATAGGTACCACTCTGGCAGGAAGGTAAACAGTGTTTCCGTGTGCTGCTCTGGTGTCGGTGTTCCGTTGTGCCAGAAGCGATTTAGTCATGCTGGCCACATGACCCGGAAATCTGTCTGCGGACAAACGCCGGCTCCCTCGGCCTGTAAAGCAAGATGAGCACCTCAACCCCAGAGTCATCTGTGACTGGACTTAACTGTCAGGGGTCCTGTCCCTTTATCTTATCCCTTGGGGGGAAGAAGTTGGTCATTTTATTTTGTCTCCTTTCTCTTACATGTGCAGCATTCTCAGATACAGGTAGTGCCCCCTGTTTCTTGTATCCTTGCCTCGTAAGAACCATTACTCCAGGTTATTCACCCACAAGGCTGGCGAGGCAAATGAGCAGACGTGCAAATAAAATGTCCTCACAGGGACATCTAAGTGTTTGGCTTGCAGCATCAGCATCCTCTGCTCTATTCTTCAAGGTCCTCTTACTTCATGGTGGGGTGGAGTGAAACCTTACCTCTTTTAACCAGGGTTCATGTGCTTTGCTCATCCTTGGGGTAATCCAGAGCAGTCAATATGATGATGGAAAATCCTCTTGGATATATTGTACTCCTCAGGGCCTCATATTATATTGATTTCAGAACTGCAAACTCCTAAAGACTCAAAATACACTGCAATTAATACAGTAAAAACTTTGGAGTCTGCAAAAAAGAATATGAGTCGAATATGCCCCTTACCCATATACAGCAGTTAGCACTGATGAGCAAATCGCACCACCCAAAAAAAGAAACATTAATCAAGCTAAAACAAACCACAGAACTCAGAACAAACTCTCTGGCCACCATCTAGCCGGAAACTGCCTGCTAGTGAGGTTTTTTCCTTTATCAACTTTAAGGAGTAGGTTGATTCTCCAAATCCTCCATAATACCACAGACTATACTATCTTTCCTCCCCTGGACAGATGCTTCAGTGAATGTAAAAATCTTGTCTCTTTGGTTTTGCAAGGCAGGCTTCAGACTGTTCGCTGGATTATCTCTGGAAAGTGCCTCATCTTTTCCTTGGCGATCAAACAGAGGGGTTCCTGAGTGACAACACAGGTAAGTGTTTCCTTCCTTTCTTTAATGCAACCAGAATTGGGTATACCTCTTTTAAAATTATTCACAAATGCATACTATGGATGGATGTCATTGGACTACAAATCCCATCGTCTCTTGGCCACTGTGAGAATATAATGCTGGCCCACTGGCTTGATTCAGCAGCCTCATCTTATCTTGTTCAGATCATTGGCCATGTTGGCTGGGATTGATGGGTATATAGCAGTCCAGCAGGCTCTGTAGAGCACCACGTTGGGTACTCTTGCAGTAAACTAAGGAGTCACAATCAAGTTCTTTAATGGGAATTAACTTATACTTCTGAAAATTTGAAAGTTTTAAAAAAAGAGAAACTGCCCAGAACTTGTTGGGCAGGATTTATACCTTTTCTGAACAATGCTGTCAAATGAAGGAAGAACCTGAGAAGACACATGCTGGGATAGACCAAAGATTTGTCTTATTTAACATCTTATTTCTCACAGAGGACAAGCAGAGAATAGTTCCATGATGCCACTATACCTAGCAACTAGTATTCAAAATACGTATGGTGCCATGGATATTGGAGGTCCTAATTACTGCTCATGATTAGCAGACCTCTATTTCCATCTCCTCCATTTGTTTTTCCAAGCGCTAGCTTCCATTCGTATCATGCAAGGTAGTTCTCAGATTACATTTGGCACATATCTGAAATTCGGCAGTATTAGGAACTCAAGTTCAAGTACATCAGACATTTATAAGATTCAGGTTTGATGTTCGATTGTGAAAGTTAATCAAAGACAACTTAAATCCTTCAGCTTACTTCTTAATTTGAAGACAACAATTTTGTGTGCCAACTTCCATTCCTAAATCAAACTTGATGGGCAGGACATAAAGCACTACATGATTAAGGTGGTTGTGGGCAGACCAAGACTGGTGGCGCAATACCCCATTCACCTTAATTGACCAGCCTCCTCTGCTCACACTGGTATACAGTTCCTGGTAGGGACTTACCATCTCTCCCTTTTGTTACAGACTCCGAGAAGATGGCACATAAGGGTGTGGTCCTTGCTTTCTACATCTTCACCTTTCTGACTGGTCTCCCTTCCAACCTCCTGGCCTGCTACACGTTCTTCAGAAAAGTGTCCCAGAAGCCTGTCCCCATAGACATCCTCCTGCTCAACTTGACCGTGTCTGATATCACCCTTTTGCTTTTCCTTCCCTTCAAGATGGCGGAAGCCACCTGGGACATGACTTGGCATCTCCCTGTCTTCCTATGCCCCCTCACCAACTTCTGTTTCTACAGCAGCATCTACATCAGCACCCTTTTTCTGATGGGGGTCAGCGTGGAGCGCTATCTGTGTGTCCTCTACCCTGTCAAGTACAAGTTGAATCGCAGGCCAATTTACGCAGTAGCAGCCAGCCTCTTCTTCTGGTTGTTGGCCTATTCCCACTGCAGTATTGTCTACATTGTCCAAAACCGCAACACCACCATGCTGCCTTCTGACAAAAACTTCTCATGCTATGAGAAGTTCTCCTCCAGCCAGCTCCAAATCCTCCTTCCTGTCCGGCTGGAAATCAGCCTTCTCCTCTTCTGGCTACCTTTCGCCATCACCCTGTTTTGCTATATCAATGTTATCCGCATTCTGGCCTCTCTGCCCAACATCCCATCCCATAAAAAGAAACGAGCCATGGGCCTGGCTCTGGTGACTCTGCTCAATTTCACCATCTGCTTCGCTCCCTACAATACATCCCATATTGTTGGCTTCATTCAGAAGCAAAGCCCTTCCTGGAGAGTGGATGCTTTCCTCCTCAGTGCCCTCAACACCACTTTGGACCCGGTTCTCTTTTTCTTCTCCTCTACTGCCATACGACGGACTTTTTCTAGTTGCTGGGTTGGTATGTCCAAGAGTCTCTGGACCATTGTGTCAGCCTGCTGCTCTCCTTGCTGTAAAGTTCCTGGAGATGATGGTGGTGGTGAAGAAGATGCAGGAGCTGGTCAAACTGTTCCAAATCTCCCAAGTGAATTGGCACAAGCCAGGGATTCTACTTTTTGTACCAGCCGGCAGAGGTCAGGGATATCTGAGCACTGAGAACATACTGAAAGATGTTCCCTGCACATAACAAGACATGTGACTCTAAAACATGCCAGCTGAAATTAATCTTTACGCACCTTCAAAAGTTTCGAATAGCCCCAAGCAGAATTTGACTTTGAAACAATGAATTCAAGCATTCCAAGCTTGCATTTTGAAAGAGAAATTATTGCCCCAACATTCTCAAACTCCTTGGATCTTCCAGATTGTTTGTCCATTTGTCTCTGCAGGTATCAACTATGAGATCACATCAGCCAGATGCTTCCAGACATTCTGCCTTCAGAGAAACCTTTCTACTTATTTCAGAGGGATTACCTAGAATACATGGCACATTTGTATGGATCACCAGCTATGTCAATTGAGTTATCTAATTTCCCTGTATGCACCCGATAACTGTCCAAAACATTCAGGGTTGCCAGTTTGTTTTCATACCCTTCTCCCCAGCCTTACCTTTATTGGCATTAGTGTCAAGTCCTCTCTGTGAAATCGTAAACAGGCTGATTTCTCCAAATCAAACTCCTACCTTTAAAAGCACAAGAGCAGTTCAGGTCATTTTTAGTCAGTTGGCTGAGGACAACTGATTCGTCTCGGCACACACAAGAGACAGACAGCTCTGCCCCCCAGCTATTCTGTGCTAAGGACGGGATTATCACTCCAACTCCACTCTTCAAATGATCAATCTGATGGTCATGAAGGGAACAATTTGTTTCCCCACTAAGGTGCTGTGCTCTAGCTCTGTGTCTACTTTATTTATTTTTCTCTTATCTGCTGCCACCATCCAAATCAGTAGTGTCTTGTAGTGGGCAGGAAAAAATGCTTGAGAACTGAATCAGACCCTCCCCCTCCAAAAAAACCCCCAAACCTGGGGAAGAGATTAGCCTGCATTAAGAGTGCCAGTTCTATGGGACCAAGGTGTATTCGGGTCCCCTAATATCTGTTGGGAGGAGCTGGGGACCCTCAATATTGAGTGGGTGGAGGACACAGCGCAAGGACCCAAATGTGGTGCAGCTTCAGTGGCCAGCTCCTTCTGAGTGTGAGAAAGGAGGAACTGCTGGCCATTGAAGGCACACCATGCTGGGTTCCACGTTTGGCCTCCTCCCCATGATGTGGCTTTGTGCATGCAATGCACACTGGGTGTGTGCACCACATGCAATGCACACTGGGCCCTCTTAATCTTGGGCACATGTGGCCTGCATTAAGTAAATCCATATGTTGAATACTATTTATTGTATTGAACTTAGTGTTTTTTAATGGCTTGGTTGTTTCCTTGTATGTTAAAGTCTGGTGCGTCTGCATTTGGGAGTCTTTGGCTTTTTTACCTAGCAAGTTAGAAATCTTAAATAAAATAAATTGCATATGAAACGTTTTCTGCAGTTAAATATTGTCCCCATACCTGGAAGGAAAATGGAAGACCATGTTAAAGGCCACAACTTTACTAATGAGAACTCTGAGAAGACAAAACAAAATTTAAAAAATCCCTTCCAGTAGCACCTTAGAGACCAACTAAGTTTGTTATTGGTATGAGCTTTCGTGTGCAAGCACACAAATCTGGAGAAGTGTGCATGCACACAAAAGCTCATACCAATAACAAACTTAGTTGGTTTCTAAGGTGCTACTGGAAGGATTTTTTTTATTTTGTTTCGACTATGGCAGACCAACATGGCTACTTACCTGTAATCTGAGAAGACATGTTGGAGGCAGCATGTTTCAAAGGCCAGTTGCTGAGAATCAGAAGTGAGGAGAATGCTCTGGTACTCAGATCCTACTTTTGGAGTTCCCAGAGACATCTGGTTGTCCACTGTGAGAACCGGATGCTGGACTAGATGGGCTGTTGATCTGATCCAGCAGCCTCTTCTAATCTTCTTAATACAGAACCCCTGCATCTCTATTTGTGGGCCTAAACTTAATGAAGAGGTAGAAGGGAGAATCCCTTCTCTTCCTCAGGTAGGTGACACGGCCCTGACATGTGGAGCAGCATACTACTAGGGATAGACATTCTGTCAATTTTTGATTCTCCTTTTCCCAGTCCTAAATTCAGATTTCCGTATCAGTTTATAATTTCTGTATCAGTTTGTGATTTATTTATTTCAAAACCTCACTAAATAAAAAAACCTCACCAGCAAATCTATCCTAAAATGTACACCTTTGCATGCAATTTCCTGAAATATAATTCAAGTTTATATGTTATTTTCACTATACATTTTTATGAACACTTTACTGTAGAATATGCATTTTTTGTAAATGTACTTGGCTGGAAAACTACATTGCAAAATTCAGTGAAGTGCCAATTTTGCAGGATTTCAAAGAATTCTGCTTTGTGTATTGTGCCAGGAAGTGCAAATCATCTAGTAAGTTCACATTTAAACACCAACTGAACCAAATCCCTCCCACCCCCACTCCTCCATACTATACAATGGCAGGTGGGTAGGCTCACAAAATAAGCCAAAGGTGGGGGCAGTGCCACCATTAAATAGGGCAGCACAGAATGCTCTGCAATTAGCTGCAAAGCAGTTGGGAGGAGTCTCCCTCCCTCCATGCTCACAGACAAATCTCAGAGGGATGCATTCAATGCATCTTCCATGCAGGAACAGAGCAGGCTCACCCCTGTTGCACTTCCAGCTTAATGTTTGTTTTGCAATCCTTGTGCTTGCTCCAGAAAGGGGGGATCAAATAATAGGGGTGGAAGAAAATTCAGTTCAGCTCTGATTTAAAGCTGACTCTATTAAATTCACAAGACCATCCTTCAAAATTCACACAGCCATCCTTCAAAATTCAGACTTCTCTGAATTTTGCAGTGCTGTTCGCCAACCAAATCATGTTTACAAAAATGTATTTATTAGGGGAAACAGCTTACAAAAATTTGTACATTAGTCAAATGTACTGCATAGTCAAAGCTGCATAGAAAGTGGGATTTATCTGGGGGTATTTTCACTAAAATGCTGGTGAATTTGGGGAAATTTTTAAGAAAATAAATGCATATTGTTGCAACACATGAAGAACTGAATTAAGGTTGGGAAAAGTGAGAAACTGAGAGAACTTAAACTGACATATCCTATTTCTAACAAGGAACAGGCATGAGTTTTGCAGATGTGAGCTCTTTCTTGGCAAGCTGGAAATACCACTTCTTTCTTGTGGTCTGGTGGTTGGGGTTAAGGTCGGTAGCTGTTCTGCCAGCCCTGGCATTCAGATCTTTTAACCGCAACTTGATGCATGAAGCAATATTAAAGTTTTTGCAGCTCAAGCTGCTGTTAAACCACAAGAACGGGCCAGGCTATATATTTGTTGCTGACATCTGTCTGTCTCAAGAGGCACTGGAGGGCACCTCTGGGGGGCAAAGTCAAACCACTGGGATAGCAGCACCAAAGTGGCCTCCCCAAGATGCAAACCTAGGCAGTGTGGATGGATGTCCCGGGCTGCCCAGACGACAAGACCCTCCTCTTGACCTCACTGATGTCTCCAAAGGAATGCAAAGCAATATATTTGGCACTAACTTGGCTGCAGAAGTTGTTGGAAGGAGACATACAAGCCACCATCCAACCATCTTAAGGACTATACTCTGGATACGTGCAGGCTTAAGCCTTTTCTTCTCCTGAAGTTATCCCGCAAGGCAGCAGAAGTTTAGGGTTAGAGTTTTCCTTCTCCTGGATAGGCTACCTTCCCAGGTTGATGAGCCCCACCTGTCTCTCACTCCCCTCTGCACTAAGTAAGTTCCATTGGAAGGATGTCCAGTTGCCCAAGTATATAGCTAAGGCCACCCTAAAATACCCACCAAAATCAATAGCTGTCCCAGCCTACTGAGCTACAAGGCTAGTAGGGTTCTTCCAGAGAGAGAGAGAGAGAGAGAGAGAGAGAGAGAGAGAGAGAGAACCAGCTGGAATGCTAAGTTACAACTCTGCCAGCTTATAATATTGGCTTGTTTAAGTCCTGCAGGGGATTAGCAAACCATTTTGCACTAGCTTGGCTGAGAGGTCCAAACAAGAGGCAAGAACAAATGACCCAGAACACTCTTGGATCAGAACTCACAAAATTCGCTAAGATTCACTAACAGAAATGTACAAAACAGAATGCAGTCAAGGAAAACAGAGAAAATGTTTTTGGTGCTAAGTTCTAGGACTTGCACTGCCTCAGGAGTGGGGAATCTTTTTCATCCCAAGGGCCACTTCACCTTCTGAGGGCCACATGACAGTGGTGGGCAGGTCCAAAGGCAAAGGGGGATGGAAAAATGAATGTAATTCTTGCCCTTATACAGCCAGATAATTTCTTTTTCTTTTTTTCATATCATTTTTATTAGTTTTACATTAATGCTTCCCATTACAATATCTCCTCTTATCTTATATTATACGTTTTGGCTTCTTAGGGCCCTGACTTCCTTCAAACCTTCCTTGTGAGTTTCTATCTTTCATTTCAAATTTCTGCATTTTCACTATCTATGTTTTTGATTTTACAGCCAGATAATTTCTACCCAGAATCACACTCTAAGCTTCCTCCAGGCAGCAAGAGTGATTATCACAATTGAAGGAAGCAGTCCAGACAGGCAAAAACACTCAATGAGGATGTGAAACAAAGTTTGTGAGTGGTGTGTCCTTAGGAGAAGGGTCATGGTTGAGGAAGGGGGGTGTCCTGGGGAAGAATCTTAGGGACCAGACAGGAAGATCTGGAGGGCTGCTTTTGGCTCCCAGGCTTGAGGTTCGTCAGCTGATCCAAGTAGGTCTAGCAGGTAGGCAGGCTAGATCACCCACACAGCAAAAGAGGAGGATCCCTAGGAAAATACAATACAGAAATCTAAAGTCTGTCATAAAAGCACCAGGGAGTCCAGCTTCCTCTAAATACAGTCATACCTCGGGTTACAGCTGCGTCAGGTTGCGTTTTTTTGGGTTGCGGACCGCCAAAACCCGGAAGTACCAGAACGGGTTACTTCCGGGTTTCAGTGGTCATGCATGCGCAGAAGCGCTAAATCGTGCTTTGCGCATGTGTGGAAGTGCCGAATTGCAACCCGCACGTGCGCAGGTGCGCAGACGCAGGTTGCGAACGCTGCGGGTTGCAAACGTGCATCCTGCACGGATCATGTTTGCAACCCGAGCACCCACTGTACAACTGAAACTGAAAGTAATTAAAGACAGACGTGCATACATATTTATAGGGCTTCCTCCAGAAAACAGAGAACAATACTCTTTTCCTTGTGCCTATTCTTATGGTTGTGCAACATCACTTGTTGTGCAACTATGGAATAAGTGTCACGGGAACTATGAGAAAAAGTCTCTGATACAAATAGTGACATGAAATAGTGACCTTCCTCTTTCAGCAAACCTTCCTCTGTCTGCGTGTACGTATGTGGGAACTATTTTCAACTGCTTTTATATGGAATTAATTTTTAATGGTCATATTGTTTTTATATATGGAATTGTTTTTCATTATTGTATATACAACACTGTTTTTCATTCTTTTTAACTTGTTTTCTGGTTTTACCTTTTTTATTTGTTGGATAACCGCAGCAAAAGGTCTCTCACTTTCTGTCTTCATCATTCTTCAAAGGCTACTTCTTATTTGGAGGCTGGATAGGCTTCACTGTATGACTCGGCTACAGATTCTTACTGTGTGTAAGTACCTGTGTAAGTACCTGTGTGTACCTGTGTTAGATTCAGGCAATAATAATAATAATAATAATAATAATAATAATAAATTATTATTTATACCCCACCCATCTGGCTTGGGCCTCCCCAGCCGCTCTGGGCGGCTTCCAAAAAAATATTAAAATACTGTAATACATCAAACATTAAAAGCTTCCCTAAACAGGGCTGCCTTCAGATGTCTTCTAAAAGTCTGGTAGTTGTTGTTCTCTTTGACATCTGGTGGGAGGGCGTTCCACAGGGAGGGCGCCACTACCGAGAAGGCCCTCTGCCTGGTTCCCTGTAACTTGGCTTCTCGCAGTGAGGGAACCGCCAGAAGGCCCTCGGTGCTGGACCTCAGTGTCCAGGTAGAACGATGGGGGTGGAGACGCTCCTTCAGGTATACTGGGCTGAGGCCGTTTAGGGCTTTAAAGGTCAGCACCATCACTTTGAATTGTGCTCAGAAACGTACTGGGAGCCAATGTAGGTCTTTCAAGACCAGTGTTATGTGGTCTCGGCGGCCGCTCCCAGTCACCAGTCTAGCTACCGCATTCTGGATTAGTTGTAGTTTCCGGGTCACCTTCAAAGGTAGCCCCACGTAGAGCGCATTGCAGTAGTCCAAGAGGGAGATAACCAGAGCATGCACCACTCTGGCGAGACAGCCCGCAGGCAGATAGGGTCTCAGCCTACGTACCAGATGGAGCTGGTAAACAGCTGCCCTGGACACAGATTTGACCTGTGCCTCCATGGACAGCTGTGAGTCCAAAATGACTCCCAGGCTGCGCACCTGGTCCTTCAGGGGCACAGTTACCCCATTCAGGACCAAGGAATCCTCCACACCTGCCCGCCTCCTGTCCCCCAAAAACAGTACTTCTGTCTTGTCAGGATTCAACCTCAATCTGTTAGCCGCCATCCATCCTCCAACCGCCTCCAGACACTCACACAGGACCTTCACCGCCTTCACTGGTTCTGATTTAAAGAGAGGTAGAGCTGGGTATCATCCGCATATTGATGTACACCCAGCCCAAACCCCCTGAAGATCTCTCCCAGCGGCTGCATGTAGATGTTGAAAAGCATGGGGGAGAGAACAGAACCCTGAGGCACCCCACAAGTGAGAGCCCAGGGGTCTGAACACTCATCCCCCCCCCACCACTTTCTGAACACGGCCCAGGAGGAAGGAGCGGAACCACTGTATGACAGTGCCCCCAGCTCCCAGCCCCTCAAGACGGTCCAGAAGGATGTCAAAACAAAATGACTACACATTGTCCCCTTAAATATAGCTCACCCAACAGGTAACTAAATCATGTGGCTGGGTCGGCTTGCAAAAACAGAAAAGTGCTCAGTGGGTATCTAAAACGATACAGTGAGGGGGTTTCTGTAATGTCAATAGTCGGGGAGTTCCAAAGCTACATTAAAGGGCATCCAGGGCAGCTTTCTACCAGCTCCACCTGGTACGCAGGCTGAGACCCTACCTGCCCGTGGACTGTCTCGCCAGAGTGGTACATGCTCTAGTTATCTCCCGCTTGGACTACTGCAATGCGCTCTACATGGGGCTACCTTTGAAGATGACCAGGAAAACTGCAGTTAATCCAAATATGGCAGCTAGACTGGTGACTGGGAGTGGCCGCCAGGGCTACATGACACCGGTCCTGAGAGATCTGCATTGGCTCCCAGTATGTTTCCGAGCACAATTCAAAGTGTTGGTGTTGACCTTTAAAGCCCTAAAAGGCCTCAGTCCTGTGTACCTGAAGGAGCGTCTCCACCCCCATTGTTCACCCCACCCCACTGAGATCCAGCACTGAGGGCCTTCTGGTGGTTCCCTCATTGCGAGAAGTGAGCTTACAGGGAACCAGACAGAGGGCCTTCTTGGTAGTGGCCCCCACCCTGTGGAACGCCCTCCCTTCAGATGTAAAGGAAATAAGCAGCTATCTTATCTTTAAAAGACATCTGAAGGCAGCCCTGTTTAGGGAAGTTTTTAATATTTAATGCTGTATCATTTTTAACACTCAATTGGGAACCACCCAGAGTGGCTGGGGAAACTCAGTCAGATGGGCAGGGTATAAATAATATATTATTATTATTGTAAAGGAGTAGCTCCATGCTAATGCCGAACAGCCAGCTTGCTGCACTTGCAGCAAGTGAACATTGCACAGATCTAAGTGATCAAATCAGCACGCCATCTGTTTGTTATTATCCTATGCATCATTTGTTATACAGTAGCATTGTGTAACCCACTGGTATGTATTGTTTAATGACTCTGTACATGCTGAGTAAGACAGCTGAAGCAGAGAGCAGCCACCATAATGGACAGTTAGCAGGCCTCGTCTTAGCCACACTGAGGTATCTCTTGTGTGTAAGACCCTGAACCTTTAAGAGCAGTTAATGAGGATCCCTTCATAGCTTTAAAAGGAGTTTTGAATTTCCCCAGCACTGCAAGTTCCTTCTCTGTTTGTTTTCTCTGTGTTAGAAAGAGCTGTAAGTTTCAGCTTCCTGAGATGTCTGCCATGGAGCTTAGGTGATTTTCTGTCTCCAGCCAGCAGACAGATCGAGCTTCAGGAAGTGGTTTTGTGGTGGCACAACCTGAAAGACAGAACCTGGGGAGAAGGATGCTCTATACATAGAATAATAGAATCATAGAATTGTAGAGTTGAAAGGGACCCAGAGGAACATCTACCATATTTTTTGCTCCATAAACAAAAAAAGTAAGGGGAAATGTGAGTGCGTCTTATGGAGTGAATGGCGCTGCGCAGAGAGGGAGAACAGCGCAGCGCCCCTTCAGCGACGCGCTTGTCCTGCAAAGCCAGAGGAGGAACATGGGGGCTCCTTCTGTTCGTCCTCCCGCTTCGCTAAAGGGGCATCTCCTGACTTCTGCCTTAGCTGTGTGCAGCCTCTTCGGGCAGAGGGAGCCTTCATCGCGCTGCCCAGGAGAGGCTGCGCACGGCTATCCCATGAGGTAGGACAGCAAGACGGATCACTGCACAGCAATCCCGTTTGCTGTTCTGGCTTATGGGATTCAGAATATTTTTTTTCTTGTTTTCCTCCTCCCAAAACTAGGTGCACGTTATGGTCTGGTGCGTCTTATGGAGCGAAAAATATGGTAGTCCAAGCTCTAGAACAGGAGAAAACAAGTTTGCTCCATCTTCCCTGTAACAGCACGTTACATATTTGAAGATGACTAGCAAATATCCACTCTGTCTACACACACACACACACACACACACATTAGGGGAAAGTGCACAAAAATGAATATATTATAGAAAACAACATGCAAACATGCTGATGTATTTTCATGATTTTTTTTTCTAAACCACAAATTGCTGCGGAAATATGGAACACTCATTTTTCAATTTTAAACCAAGAGCACCAAAACTGAGCAGTCCTTCCACCTCCATCTCTTAAAAAATATATTTTTAATCGTTTCCAAAGGGGAAATTTTGTGAAAGGGGTACATACAACTTTTTCCCATCTGCAACTTCTCAGCCATTTCTGATTGGGGCGGTCACAGAAGTTAATTTGTTAGAAAGGATGCGTAATGTAGCAAAAGCATGCCTCTGTGAAGGGGTGTTGGCTCTCATTACAGGACAAATTGGACTGTTGACATGGCTTTGAAGGTGTGGAAGAAGAAGGATGCTACTTTTCTGATCTATCTGTGGTTAGGCAGAAAAAAAGTCCTAGTAGCAGCAACTTAAAGCCACAAAGTGTGTCCTTTCCTAGCAATTTCCCTGTAATTTGCTCAGAACATCCTCCTTCATTTCCTTAATTGAACCTGGTTCCAAAACACACCTCTTGCCAAGGCAGTTCTCACAAGCAGGGATGGGAGATGCAGAAGCTGGCTTTGAGAGTGAATAATAGAATTGTAGAGTTGGAAGTGATCCTGAGGATCATCTTGTCAAAAACATTGTGATGAAGGAATCAAATAGCATAGGTGGGGAAGAGAAAGAAACTAGATGCAAGGACTGGAAGGCTACATTTCATTATGGACGATTATGGGTCTTGTGGGATTTTCAGCTAGACTGCTCCAGAAACACAGGAGCTCATCTAATTCTGCCATGTTGGGGAGTGGGGAGGGAAATGGAAAAACTTAGTTAAAAAGAAGATTGGAGAGGGTTTCATTAAAGGTTTGCACAATGGTTGACTTTCATAGTGACGTTGAAATCAGTTTCCTCCCCCTCTGCCGCAGGGTTTCCAGTTTATTTGTTGCTATTTATGATGGGTTCCTTTTTCTGCAAATGACCTCACTTCCTCCAGATTGTCTCATAAGGACTTGCACTTTTGTCTGTTGGACAGATGCTCCAACTTTCTCAAGGCACATGTGAATATGCCCACTGGCATCTTTTTGAAAGAAAGAATTCAGGCTGGTATTTGAGTCATCTCTGGAAGGTTGTGGTTCTAGTCCTCCGTGGAGACAGAGCAGAGTGATTGATCCCCTAGAACACAAGTAAGTTTAGAAAATGTGGCTAGAATTTTTTATTTTTATTTTTTGAAACGCTTAATATAGTGAAATAGTTAGAATTATGATTATTGGTAGACATGAATCCAGAAGTTACAGCAACTCCCATATGAGGAAAATTACAATGTTTGGGGGCTTTTAAGTTTGTTTGTTTGTTTTTAGATGTAAACGGGGAATGATCAAGGTGTAGGAAATTTTGTGCAGTATGGAGAAAACGCTAGAGAGGGACTGTTCTCCTCTCTCATAATACTAGAACTCATAAATGCTGGAGCCTGAAAAGATTTAGGGCAGATAACAAAAAGTATTTCTTCATGCTGCACGTAGTCAAGCCAAGAAATTTCCTACCGCAAAATGTGGTGATGGCCACCAATTTGGGTAGCTTTAAAAGTGAACGAGACAAATGCACAGTAGATAAGGCTATGAATTTCTACAAGAATGTGGGGAAGCCTTGCCTGTTTAATGAGGTATCCTACTGCTTTAAATATATGGTGTGAACGTGGCCTCAGGCAGGTGGAAACCCCAAACTGGGAAAACTCAAAGGCAGACCTTGCGCTGAGAAGGAATAATGGGGTTTGGGTTTATGAAGCACATCTGTTTAAGCTGGGAGACCAGCTGAGCATCTTTCATGAACCAGTATATTTTACCTTGTTGAGACATCTGCTCTCCATTCACAACATGCAGCTGGGCCACCTCCTTGGTGCAATGCAAATCAGGGCCACTGAATTTATGAATGAATTAAGATCCAACCCAACATGAAGCGACAGCCAACACAACACAGCAACGCAATGCAATGTACAGTTAGAGTTGGGAACTGATACGCATCTTTTTTTTATTACAAATAAAAAAGTAAACTCCAGACTGTTCTTGTGCTTTGGCAACAGCTTGAGCTGCAAAAACTTCAACATTGCATCACACATCAAGCTGCCGTTGAAAGATTTCACTGAAGGGGCTGACAAAACAGCAGTTTAACTACCAACCCACAAAAAAAGAAGTGGTATTTCCAGCTTACTTTAAGACACGCAGAGCTCACGCCTGCTTAGCTCATGCCTATTTCTTGACGGCCATGGAAGGATTTGTCCATTTCATCCCCCCATTGTGCTCGCCTGATGCTTTGCACTCCAACTCCCAACAGACCCAGCCCCTTGGCCAGTGATAATGGATGATGGGGGTTGTGATCCTATGACATCCAGAGGGTACCACATTGACCATCCCTGATCTATCCACTGGGGAACCATTATAGTTCATACTATTCAGGAGACTGAGTGTGTTCCAAGAGAGAGGACAGGCATCTCTGAATGATACTTTAAGCATTAGAGACAGCTTTCCTCACTTAATGTTCTTATCTCATAATCTCACCCTTCTTTTGCAGAAGCTGAGATGACACCCATGAAGAAGGCTCTTGTTCTTGCAATCTATACCTTCTCCTTCCTGACAGGCTTGCCTTCCAATCTACTGGCTGGCTACGCATTCCTGAAGAAAGTGAGGCAGAAGCCAGTGCCCATCGACATCTTCTTGTGCAACTTGACCATCTCTGACCTTTTCCTGCTGTGCTTCCTGCCCTTTAAAATGGTGGAGGTTGCCAGTGACATGACTTGGCCTCTTCCTGGCTTCCTTTGCCCACTCACCAACTTCTTCTTCTACAGCAGCATCTACCTCAGCACCCTTTTCCTCATGGCAGTCAGTGTGGAACGCTATCTCTGTGTTGCCTATCCGGTCAAGCACAAGCTGAACCGCAAGCCAACCTCTGCAAGAGCAGCCAGCATCTTCTTCTGGTTCCTGGCCTGCTCCCACTGTGCCAGCATTGTCTATGCTGTCGAATACCACAACAGGACCCCGTCAGACCTTAACATCACCACGTGTTACTACAGCTTCTCCCCAGAGCAGCTCCGCATCCTTCTCCCTTTCCGGCTGGAGCTCTGCCTCCTCCTCTTCTGCCTGCCTCTCGCCATCACCCTTTTCTGCTACGTCAACGTGATCTGCATCTTGAGCACCATGCCCAACATCCCTCCCCACAAAAAGAAACGGGCGGTGTGCCTGGCGGTGGCCACGTTGCTCAATTTCGCCATTGCTTTTGCACCATACAACATCTCCCACATTGTGGGCTTCATTAATAAGGAGAGTCCTTCCTGGAGAGTGGAGACTTTCTTCCTCACCTCCCTGAACACCACCTTGGACCCTATCATCTTCTTCTTCTCCTCCCACACCATCCGACGAACCTTCGGCAACTGCTGGTCTGGCATGTGTAGCAAGATCCAGACTGTTGTGTCGCCCTGCTGTTTGTGTTGCTGCAAGACTCCTGAAGACAACAAAGCAGGAGCTGGACATGTAACTGCTTCAGATCTCCCCAGTGGACTGGCAGGGGCTCCCACCCCTACTCCTTTTACGACTCAGCAAAGATCTGGGTCATCAGATGACTGAGCAGTCTGGAACAAGCATGCCACACAAGGAAGCAAACCTGGTGCTTAAGCTCACAGGAAGCAGAGAACATTAAAATCCAAACAGCATCCCCATCTATAATCTGCCAGTTGTTCTAGTTTCCCAACGCAAGTTTTCCATCTGAAGCCATGAACTTACCATTTCAACCTGCATTTTGAACTGGAAATTAACATCACCTTGAAAATGGGGAAACTTGGTTGTTTTTGGCTGGCAGGAATATCTCAGCTGTCGTCGTTTGCAAACATCAAGGATGAGACTGCATCTTCCAGTGATTTCCAGGTGTTCTACCTCCAGAGTAGGGATGGAGGGAAATCCATTTTAAATGGATTTATAGATGGACTTGGTAGTTCTGACCTGATTGAACTTTTCCTGTGTCAGACTGCCTCTTGCACTGAGAACTAACATGTCTGAGCTGCTTATGTGGTGTCAGTTTTCTTTTTTAAAAAAGCCTGGTTATATGCAAATAGTATGCAGGGGTACAGACATCAGTCTCTGCCAGTACATGGGAGAACTCTCTCCACCCACTGGCCACATTTGCCCCCACCTTGGGTTTACGGTCTAATACCTCCTGGTGGAAGGGATGCAAGTGGTGCTGTGGGTTAAACCTCAGAGCCTAGGACTTGCCGATCAGAAGGTCGGTGGTTTGAATCCCCGCGACGAGGTGAGCTCCTGTTGCTCGGTCCCTGCTCCGGCCAACCTAGCAATTCGAAAGCACGTCAAAGTGCAAGTAGATAAACAGGTATCTGTTTATCGCTCCAGCGGGAAGGTAAATGGCGTTTCCATGCGCTGCTCTGGTTCGCCAGAAGCGGCTTAGTCATGCTGGCCACATGACTCAAAAGCTGTACGCCGGCTCCCTCGGCCAATAAAGCGAGATGAGCGCCGCAACCCCAGAGTCGGCCACAACTGGACCTAATGGTCAGGGATCCCTTTACCTTTACTTTACCTGTTGGTGGGGCTGCCCAGATAGCGGCACTTATAGGCATATGTGCTGGGACCATCCACAATTGCATCCATAATTGGTAAGCTGATAGCTGGCAACCCAAAGTTAGACAATAAATAGCACCCCAATTGTTCTCACCTTTCATTACATTCCTCCTGCTTGCAGCCCATCTGGCTATAATTCAGAGCTGGAAGGATGCCTTGGCTTTTACACAGGAGGTGTGGCATAAAAGGGGTCTGTACATTGTTTACTTGGAGAAGCTTAATCATGAACTCAAAATCACCAAGGGCTCTGCTGCACCGAGAGATTTTGTGACCAAAGGTAACCTTTTTTTATTTAAATGAATGTGATGGACCACCTTGTTCCAGCCAAGTATGATCTTATTTGGAAGAATCACGGAACTTATTTGGCCCTTTGTCTCCTCCCCATGCCCTTTGAACTTTTTTTCTTTTCTTCTCCTGCTTTCCCACCAGTATTAGTTACTGCTACCGTGTTAATAATGTTGCTTTTTGATGATTTCATGTTTTATATTTTTGTATGGTTGTTTTAATGGTGTACCATTCTTGTCCCTTTAATATGTACCATATAGGTTATATGGATAAAATTTAAAAAATACATGTATGAAATGTCAAGCCACAAGTGGCATTATATTTCTGCAGCGGGGTTTTTCCAAATATTAGCATTCATTATGCATATAGTTCTATGCAGTGTTGTATGCATTTGTTTATGTGCTGGTTGCTTGAGGAAACCTGTAGTGAATGTGCATGTGGGGATTGTTTTTTAATGAAAGTGATTTTTAAAAAAAATTCTCAGAAAGAATTGATTGTATTTTTAGTGGACGTGGTAAACAAAAACACCCTTGTTTCTCAGAAGGAGCAAGACAGGAATTGGGGGTGTGGCTAAATTCAACATCAATATTTCCAGAAAATTCAATCCCTTGGGACACGATGGCAGATGGAAGATTAATTCACATGGGCACCCACCAAACCTCCTTAGAATCATAGAATTGTAGAGTTGGAAGGGACTGTGAGGGTCATCTAGTCCAACCCCGGCAATGCAAGATCCTTTTGATCAACGTGGGGCTTGAACCACCACCCTAAGATTAAGAGTCTCATGCTCTACTACCTGAGCTATCCCATAGGGCCTCATCACTGCCCCATATAAACAGAGTGTGTGCCAGAGAACATCCCAAAACACAAAAAGCTACCTCTGCTCCTGGCTTTTTTGAAATAGAAGCTTTAGCAGGTGCTAATATACACCTCCATGTGCTGGAAAGCTTTCTGCAGACCAATCTAGCACTGTTAAAAGCACAACAGCCAATTTGACCAATTTAGGAGGGCAGCCAGTGATTGTACAGTGGTACCTCGGGTTACATACACTTCAGGTTACATACTTCAGGTTACATACACTTCAGGTTACAGACTCCGCTAACCCAGAAATAGTGCTTCAGGTTAAGAACTTTGCTTCAGGATGAGAACAGAAATCATGCTCCGGCAGCGTGGCAGCAGCAGGAGGCCCCATTAGCTAAAGTGGTGCTTCAGGTTAAGAACAGTTTCAGGTTAAGTACAGACCTCCAGAACGAATTAAGTACTTAACCCGAGGTACCACTGTACCTGCCTTCTCGTGTGACTGCCCAGTGCAAGACTGCAGTGGGCACTTCACATTTCAGAAAGGTTTGTCTGTTTTCTTTCAGGCAAACCCTGGAAATCTTCCCAGAACAAGGGGTTGCTTGATCAAATTGCACATCCTTTCCTCTCTATTGTTCCTGGGCCTAAGTCAGAATTGGGCTGGCATATGTGGTGCAGTGATTACAGTGCCAAGCAAGAGATCAGGGGAGAAGGTTCAAATCCTACTCACTGAGTGACTTTGCACCAGTTACTATCTCTCAGGATAACCAATACACAGGGTTGTTGTGAGAATCGCATGGAGTGGGGTAGTCAGGTATGCTGCCTTTCACTCTTAAGATGTTTTCTATATGTGCTGCTATGTTGTGATGTTTTTGTATAGAAGGGATTTTATTATTTGACCCAGTATTGTATTTTGTATTATTATTTTTTTAGCTTCTGTTATATTTTTTACCTTTCTGTAAACCAATAGGAGACTGTTTTGGTGTTAAGTCACATAGAAGCATATGAAATAAAATAAAGGAATAAGAATGTTGCGTTCATTTTATTTATAAAAATTATTGTGTACTGCAATTTCATTTTATAAGATAGCAAGGTGGTTTACAACGTGTGTATTTGTGTGTGTGGTGAAAACCACCTAAACATTCACATTGTCAGCTAACCTTCACAGAATATGTTTTCTTAATTGTCCGCATAAGTCTTTGCCTGCATAGAAAAGTTTTCATTAAATGGTGGAAAGCATTCCACAGAACTGGAGTTGATGGCGCTGAAGGTTTGGTTTTGTGTCAATGTCAAATTATCCTCACCAACTCAGGGAATGACCCAAACTCCTGCAGATGATCTTAGTGATCATAGAATCAAAGAATCATAGAGTTGGAAGGGGTCTTGGGGTCATGTACTCCAAACTCCTGCAATGCATTGATGAAAGGTGGCCATCTAACCTCTGCTTAAAAACCTCAAATGAAGGAGAGTTCACCAGCTCCTGAGGGAGATCGTTCCACCATCAAACAGCTCTTACTGTCATAAAGTTCTTCCTGATGTTTAGTCAGATTCTTGTACTTGGATCATTGGATCACACTGGGATATAAGGGTCCAGGCAGTCCTTTGGTACCCTGCACTTCAGTTGGTCAAAGTTTTGTAAATTAATTCAAAGACCTTGAAGTATGGCTAGTATTAGACCTGGGCATGATATAGGCACCCTCCCATCATTTACTTATTTGAAGATAGTTACAAAATCCAGCTATTCCAAGGCAATGAGAAGAGGTACAGGAGCTGACCTTGAGAATGGGGAAGAGAAGTTAACCAGCTGCAAGGGCTAGAGGTAAGAGAAGAAATTCGCATCGTTCTAGTTTTATTATAAACCTACGCAATTCATATTTCCCAAACCATTGACTTCAGATTTACATCTACGTTTGTTCACTGTCTGTGTGATATTCATTTAAAATAAAGGCGTATGCACAGAGTCGCGAACTACGTCCACCCCCATTCTGACATTGAATTAGGACTTGCCAGACAAACATGCAAAAGCAAATTTGCAAATTACCATTTACCAGGTTGCCTGTGGTGAGCAAAGATTGACTCTAGGTCACTAGACAGTAAAATGTTTGTAAAAAACACACAAAATAGCTTATAGGCGAGAGAGTGTTGCTGTGTTGCTGTGCTACAGATGACTACCAGTACTTAAAAGAGTGGAGTTTTTATTCCTCCCCCCCCCCCACATCAGATGCTGTTTTCGTGCTAATTTCTACGTCATGTGCTTACTGAAGAGGTAAGATTTGTCACGCAGCCCTCCTTGATTCTTCCTCCTCTGATGGACCTAGCAAGAAAGGTACATCAAAATGGGCACACATCTACTCTTCGGACATGTGCGCTACATGTTTCAACTGGGACGCGGATAGTGCTGCGGTCTACACCACTGAGCCTCTTGGGCTTCCCAATCAGAAGGTTGGCGGTTCAAATCCCCGCAACAGGGTGAGCTCCCGTTGCTCTGTCCCAGCCCCTGCCAACCTAGCAGTTTGAAAGCGCGCCAGTGCAAGTAGATAAATAGGTACCATTGCAGTGGGAAGGTAAACGGTGTCATGGTGTTCCATTGTGCCAGAAGTGGTTTAGTCATGCTGGCTACATGGCCCAGAAAGGTGTGGACAAACATCGGCTCCCTCGGCCTGAAAGCGAGATGAGCACTGCAACCCCATAGTTGCCTTTGACTGGACTTAACCATCCAGGGGTCCTTTACCTTTTTACCTATTGTTTCAACTCTTGAGCAGTTGCAGGAAGTCCCCAGTCGAGACATCAGCAACCAGCAGAAGGAGTTTTTTAAAGACAACAACAATGCTGAAATACTGTTGTGTGTGTTTGTTTGTTTGTTTGTTTGTTTGTTGCATTTATATCCCATATTTTTTTCCAAGGACCTCAAGGTAGCGTACATGGTTCCCACCCCTTATTTAACCCTCACAACAATCCTGTGAGGGAGGTTCTGCTAAAAGGCAGTAACTGGCCCAAGGTCACTCAGTGAGCTTAATGCCCAAGTGAGAATTTGAGCCCTGGTCTCTAACCTCTCTAACCACAACACAACACTACCCTGAATATATTTTTGCTCCCCCGGGCTTTCCCAGTGGGGGTTTCAGTTTTGTTTTAACAATATTTGTTGGTTTTGTGTTTTTAACAGTTTTTATTATTTTATGTCTTGAGATTGCGGTTTATAACGTGATTAATAAATTAATGGTATTATTATGACATACCTCTCCCACCTTTCCTCCAAGAAGTGCAAAGGGGCCTACATGGTTTCTCCCTGTCTTCGATTTACCTTCACGACGGCCCTGTGGCGTAGGCTAGGCTGAGAGCTTCATACCTGAGCGGGAATTTGAACTCTGGTCTCCACAGTCCTAGCCCAGCGCTCTAACCACTATGCTATGCTGGCTCTCAGTATTTCAGTCACTCTTATTCTGGGAATTCACCACCACACTCGGGGGAAAACCAGTGCAGAATTTTTTCCCATATGAACTGGGCCACGAGCTCGGTAGATCTCATGGTTGACGTGCTGGAATCAGCAGCCACACACAGCTACTTCCCCTTCCTCTTCCTGTGATGTCTAGTTAAGCTGAAACCTAAGCTGTTGCATCACTACAGAGTGTATTTTCAGTTCTCTCCCCTCCCTACCCGATTTCAACTAATGCATTGGAATGGTGACAGGGAGACAAAATGATGATGTCATGCTGCTACACGTTTCCCCTAAGTAGGTGTTAACAGTGAGAAAATGGAGAATCAGGGGAAGCCAAGGCTGACATTTATGGCAGCAAATGCACCTTGTTTAACAGCGCTGGGGCAAAAGGTGCACTTTACATTGCAGAATTTGCACAAAAGTAAACCTACAATGCCACATCCCTGATTTCCAACCATGTCAAAGAAATATAAATTTCCCCAGATAGAATACAGCGTTGGTTGCATCCTTTCCTAAATCTGTCGTGCATGTGTGTGTTAGTTATTTGTTTTACAAATAAATCAGTTTAGCTGTAAGAATTAAGTGACGTACATGAATTGAGATGCAGATGGAGGACAGTTTCATAGAGCAATGGGCCATTATCTTCAGATGGAGTTATTCTGAGAGTTGACCCACACAATCAGGAAAATTGCGTGATGTTGCTTAATGTGAAGACTATCCCACTTCTACCTGCAAGTATGGAATTGTGACTTTCAACTCTTCCCCCAATGCAAAGCAGACTTTCTGGATGAAGAATACGTGTTCCTGGCATTTTTTTTACAATATTCATTGACAGGTGTTCTTACCCGCCCTTCACCTTAGGACCCCAGGGCAGGCTACAACAATATGAAAATGCCGTACACAAAAATGGCGAAGGGCTGTAGCTCAGCACTTGAGGTTCTGCTCGCCATGAAGAAGGTCCCAAGTTCAATCCCAGGTAGGGCTGGGAGAAATCTCCTGTCTGAAATTCTGGAGTGCTGCTGCCAGTCAGTGTTGGAGAATACTGAGCTAAATATCCAATGGTCTGCCTCCATATAAGGCAGCCTCCTAAGTTTATAATACTAAAATCAGTTAAAACAATTTACAATCAAGGGAACAGGGTGGGTTCTGATATTGGTATATTTTAGATGCTAAAGTTCAGGGTAAAGAGGTGTGACATCAGCATGTAATGAAACTATATCATATACAACAAAGGTGCCAGGCACACCTCTGTGCGGAAAATCAAAATTCTGCAGTTTAGGGACTGGCCCAGAGAATGCCCTCTGCAAGCCTCCCACCCAATGGACTTCCAAGGGCAGTGGAAATATCAAGGGGGGGAGCTCTACCAATCTTCCAGCTATTTGGGAGCAAAGATGTTTAGGGTTGCATTCACATGGCAACTTGTCTCGTTTTTCCTGACGTTCCCCTGTTATTTTCCACATTATATTTGAGTTTTTGCACAATGTAAATGCTCGTTTCTGTATTCTTTGATTCTGGGGGGAGGAGGGGAGATAATTTCCTTAACCTGGAAAAATCACAGGGGTAAAGCGACAAA